ACACCAAAGAAATCAATTTGGCTGGAATATAGACTTAAGAAATGAGGAAAAGGGGGTAAGATTAGGATGGCAGGTTCATGGCAAACTCTGGAAGATGCTGTACGTCCCCAGGGAGAGGCATTCTGGCTGAGAGCTGAATGCTGGAAGCAGCAACAGATCTGCATTTAAATCCTTGTTTTACTAGCGTGTGATCTTGAGAAGATGCCCAGCCTCAGTGCCTTCATCTGTAAAATGGGAACAACAGCAGTACCCACCTCATAGGGTTGGAGTGAGGATTTAAAAGACGTATACGTAAAAGCTTAACCCAGTGCCTGGCGCCTGGTAAGCGCTCAGTAAGTGACAGCTGTCAGTTATTACTGAGGAGCTGAGACTTTCTGCTATAGAAATGGTCAAACTTTTATGTCCCACAGCCCTCTGAGAATCTGATAAAAGTTATGAATTTTCTTGCCAGAAAAGATATAACACATATACAAGTTTGTACCTACAATTTCAGGTAATTTATAGACCTTCTGACAGCCACTCCATAGATTCTTCCTAGGGGGCTCAGGGTCTCCATGTGAGACCCTGTTCTCCCTGTTCCAGAGCTAAAAGAGGAACTCACTGGGCGCTGTGCCACAGCAGCAGTGATGACACGAAAGGGTATGCAAGACGGTGACAGTGGGGGGCAGGCAGGGAGAGCGCAGCAGCAGGCAAAGTGTCCTGCAACAGTCAGGTCAAATGTGGGGGTGGGAAAGGCAGGCCCCACGTAGAATTCCTCTGAGGGGCGAGCACAAGCTTGGCTTCTCCTGAGAATGCAGTCAGCGTTTTCCTTCCGGACAAGGACAACGATGTAACAAACCGTGCCCTTCCTTTGTTTATTCCTTGGCTTCACCTAAGCCCAGTACCAAGACTGAGGCTTAATCAAAGCAAAAAAGCAAGACCTTTAGGCCTGCAAGTGTGTTCAGTTTTTTCACTCCCCTCAATCTTAATGTTAAACTGTTTCCTTGATTCTTTTACTTTCAAGTCTACTTTTTCACGTATGTACTTGTAGAATGGGACAGGGAACAAGCAAGAAAAGAACAGGGAAGATAAGAATGGATGCTAATAATGATAATAATAAAATGACAGTAGCAGCTAACATGTTCTGTGTTCTAAGTGTTGTGTAAATATTAACTCATTTAATCTCCCATGTGGTAGGCATTACTATCGTTCCCATTTGACAGGTGAGGACAACTGAGGGACCGAGATGTTAAGTAACCTGCCCAGTCATAAAGCTCTAAAGTAGCAGAGCTGGGATTTGTACACAGGCAGTCAGGCCCCTAGCCCTAATAAACAACTGTCTTGATAAGACTTTGGATCCACCAGAGAAGATAGGTGTGAACATGTGACTGACATCAGAGACTAGGTTTCAACTTCTCTTCCTCTGTATTTCTCTAACATCCCAACAGTAATCTGGGGTTGCTGTGAAAGACAAACCCCAGGAAATCACCCTCCTCTATCATCTATTAGCAGCTGCAAGAAGTGCCCTTACTCAATCAACCAGGTCCCAGGAGTAATATCCTGATGTGGCATCACTGACACCTCACCTCATCTATGAATAACTATTGCCTATTACCACCTTTCTCTGGAAATGGAAGTAGGGAAAGAAGTTAAGGAAGCTATGAGAGCTGGCGTTAGCATTTCTTCTTGAAAAGGAGGAAATGAAGGAGGAAATGTAATTTAAAGCTCAGACGCCCTCAGACAGAAACACCATTTACCACTTCAGCGGTAAAGAAACACTACATCTGTATTTTCGGGTTGAATTCAAACCCAAATAAATTGTTCTGGTGAAAATATATACCAGAGTAGAAACAAATCAGGCTACAGCAGAGAGGGGATTTGTAGTTCAGACAGCTTTACAGGAAGAGGCCCTGCCTATCTCCCAGAATACCTGCACTGTCCCACTGTGGGAACCTCAGAGACAGGGTGGCTGGGACAGGGATGCAAATGGGATCACAAAGGTTAATATCCTTTCATAAAATAAGACAAGGTTTATTTTCTCTAAAGTCTCCTTGATAGGGCAATGGGCAGCCTAAAATATCCAAAGAGCCTTTCTAAAGACAACTGGCCTACCCTTTTACATTTACAGCATCTAAGTCCTTTGGTTTCTACTTAAAAATTTTCAGAGATGGAGAAGCCACTCCTCACATTTCACTTAAGAGACCCCCAAAGAACTTAAAAGCAGGTTCTGTGGTTTCCTCAGGGGATCAGAAACCAAACTCAGTTAAGAATCGTGTATATCTCTACAGGAAAGGAACGAGTCTTGCAAGCAACTCCTACCCACCAGGCAGTCTAACTTTCTCACTCAAACCCACTGCTCCACATTCCCAGGTCTGAACCTTCTGTCAAGTCAAGAATAGCTCATCACTGCTGGAAGCACATCAATGTAGCAATAATTGAAGTTGGCCCTTACCTGGGGGCTGTGCCTCTGGACACTGAACTGGGGGTTGCCTGCGAAATGGTCACAATGTCTTCGTCCCCTCCATCCTCATAAAAGCTCGCTAGGGCGATCTGAAACAGAGAGGTAGTAACTTGGGATCTTTAAACACTTCATGTAACACATCTCCTTTGAACAAAAAGGAGCAAAGACACAAAGATATGGGCCACACTTACAAGGCAGTCTGTATCTGGGGGCCACAGAAAATTAGACCAAAAGGTAACGGCCCAACTATTAGTTTTCATATCACCTGAAACATGTTCCACCTGCTGAAGGGAAAAGAAGGCAAGAAGGAAGGTTGGAATGGAGACACTCCTCATTCTCATTTTATTAGGAAATGAGCTCTAGAGTAAAAGCAGTGTACGTTTACTGATCACTTATTAACGTGCCACGTCGTTCCGAGTACAATCTACCTGTGTTACTCATTTAATCCTTAAAGAACCCTTTGTAGTTAGTGTTATTATCATCTCATTTTATAGCTGATAGAGAAGTACAGAGAAGTTAAGAAACTGCCCAAAGTTACACGGCTGGTAAGGAGTCGAGCCAGGCTTGATCCCAGGCAGTCTGCTCAGGCCCTTACTCTTAGCTCTTAGGTGATACCCAGGAGTTGCGGACTCTGAGGTTGGTCCAGATTGCTACTTTTACTTTCTCTCTGAGGCCGTTTCCAAATCTGTGCAATAGGAGCACAACCTGCAAAACCCTGCAAAAATGATCTATTAACATTTATGCACCGTCATGTCTTAGCTGTATACATACAGAAAGGATAAAGGAGTCTTCTAGCCCTTTGTGATTGAATGTTTCATGGACTCAATACATTGGTATTTACTAATCACTTGGCACAAAGAAATGAGAGCAGTGAGGTCTACAGAGATGAAAAAGACATGGCTCCTGTCCTCAAGGTCGCCACCTCATTAAGAGGCACTGAGTTGCTGTGGGACATAACCAGCCTCCTAGGAGTAGTGTTGCTTCATGGGACATAACCAGCCTGCTGGAACAGTGTGTCTTCGCAGGACACAGCAAGGCTGCTAGGAGGCCGTGCGCTGCCAGTAGGGGATTGGGGGGTTCTACATTCAAGTCTGGCCCTGCCAGGCAAGTCATGTCGCATGCAGGAGCCTGCTTCCCCACCTAGAGCATGAGGAGACTGGGACTGATGACCTGCCAACTGTAACTATAACCAACTATAAGTCTTTCAGGCAGAAGCTGCATTTTGTACTTCTGTCCAACACAGAGGCTTCACAGTGTGTTTGTACAGGCATGATACTCTACCTAACTCTTTTAATTTGGGGAAGCATATAAATGGTGGAGTCAGTAAACCCAGTTCAAATCCTAACCCTGGCTGTGTGACCTTGGGCCTATCACTTGCCCTCAGAGCTTTCAATTCCTCATCTATAGTATGGAGGTAGTTTTTACTTCAGTGTTGCTAGAATTAAATGAATCATCATCTGAAAAGTGCCTGGCATATAGTGGCTAAAAGCCTGGACTCTGGCATCAGACAACTGAGTTCTAATGCCATCTCTTCCACTTGGTAGCTCATGAGACCTTGAGCAAGTTACTTAACCTCTCTAAACCTCAGCTTCAAAATGCAAGGGTTACCTAACTTAAGACACGTAAAGCAACTAGAACAGCACCTAGCTCATGGTAGGTACTCAATAAATATTCATCATCATCATTTACCTAAGATGTAGGCTAGCCAAGAGCATTTATGCAATTCTTTCTCCAATTAATTACTGAGTGCCTGTTATGTGTCAGGCGTTGTTCTATGCACAGGGGATTCAACAGTTTACAAAAACCCTTGCCTCGTATAGGGATTAATGTCTTAACGTCTTCTTAATTAATAAATATTTAAGTATTTAAAGTGTATTTTAACAAGTGCCAGTGACCAAACGATAAACTCCACGAGACTCCAATTTTACAGATGAGCTACTTAAGAGAGATAAGTAGGCTCCAACCTTTCGCCATCACCCAGAGGGAGATTCTCCCAGCAATTAGGTAGGAAGGGGCGTGGGCCAACTCCCGGTTGGGCTTCTCCCTCCACCTGCGGCCGGGGCTGCGGAAATGGAAATGAACACGCACCTCGTCCCCAGCGCTGCTCCACCCGGGAGCTGGTCAGTCCGGCCCGCCGCCGAGACTCGGCGCGGCAGCCACGCCCCCAGGCTCCCCCTGTCCACGCGGGTGGCGGCAATGCCCGAAGTCTCGCTGACTCAGGAGCCAAGTAGAAGGGGAAACTGAGGCTAGGCAGAGCAGGTCCGGTCCAGGGCTGGCCCGCGTTTTCGCCGCCCAGACCGAGCTGGAGACGCGTGGCAAGCGGCCCCAGGACCCTGAGGCCTGGGTCGGGCCGCGGCCCGGCGGGATGACTATGCGCTTCGGCCACCGCGGGCTTGAAGCGCCAGGGGTCCGCGCT